ATTTCAGTGTGACAACTTAAATGTATTTTGATTAGGATAGGATAGGATAGGATAGTACTTTATTGATCCCCAGAGGGGAAATTCGGGCAGCAGCACAGACAAGTAAGGTCAAAATACAAAATACACATTAAACAGAATAGATTAGATAAGATAAGTATATACAAGTACAAAATGAATGATTAAGTTAACTGCAGGGAATTAGACAGTATGTGCAGGGAATGGCAAGATAATGAATGACATAATGTAAAATATATTGAACTAGACTTAATCATTTGGTTATTTTGGGATCATTATTGGGCAGCTGTGGCTCAGTTGGTAGAGTCATCGCCTTTCAACCGAAAGGTCGAGGGTTTGATCTCCAGTTGGGTAACATGTCTGAGGTGTCCTTGGGCAAGACTGCTCTGCTTCGATGGCGGTATATGACTGGATTAGTGTTGTACTTACTCTCTGATGTACGTCGCTTTGGATAAAAGTGTCTGCTAAGGGAATTGTAACATTATCAACATTTAGAAAAACAAAACTTGTTTATGTCTGGCTGGCAAAAATCTATTAAAATGTACCATGGCACAGTTTCCCTCCATTTGCACATTCATAAGATATTATAAGGTCAGGAAACTCATGGTTTTAAGCAAACTATAATTAAGCCACACAACAACCCTTAACCTAAAGCAGAAAGAAAGAGAAGAGACATGTCTGTCTTTTCAAAATCAAATTGGCATGTTTGTGAATATCATCGCTTGACTTAGAAACATGACTTAGCTTTTAGTCATTTCCCAATGTTTGCTGACATACCCTCTTAGTATATCAATCTTAAGAGACATGTTTGACACAAAACAAGTTGAGACAGTGTGACATGCAGCTTTAGCTTTTACAACTTTTTGGCGTAAGCTTGGAAATGTTGTTAACTTCAGCACTGAGTAGGACACAGTGGAGCATGTGCTTTCTAATCCAACAAACTGAACTATAGCATGTGAGCAAAAAAAAACCTTGTGAAATCATAAAAACAATACTAACTAACAAGCATTTTCAACTGTTAAACATTATCCAACTTTCCAGAGATCTCCATGCATAAAACATGGTAAATGGATATGAGCTTGTAGAGCACTTTTCTAGTCTTCTGTGTAAAGCGTTTACACCGCAGGTCACACCTACACATTCACACCCTGATGGTAGATGGGGGTATCAGTATTAACTAAACCCATTGACGTAGCAGCAGGAGGAAATTTAATGTCCTGCCCAAGTACAAATTAACATGTGGCTGCAGGTGCTGGGATCAAACCCCCAACCTTCCGGATGAGAGACAACTCTACCACTGAGCCAAATCTACCCCGACATGAGCTCAGTATTCAATGTTTACCATAAATATTATGAAATTCTATACCATTATTTTCAAATCGTAGAAGAAAGATAATAAAGTAAAGCCTGACAAAGAAACATTTAACGGCTTTATATGCGATTTTTTGATCCAGCAGATGTCGCCCTTGAGCAGCAGCATGTAACCAAAACAACTCGCGCTGCATTGTAGTGTTAGCATGCTAATGCTAGCGATCTTTATTATGCTGGTATCTTCACACTGCATGTAAATTTACCTGAAATGAGCGTGATCTAGAAACACAGTTAAGCAGTGAGTACAGTATGTTATTCTTCTTTTCTCTAGTCCCTCAATTAAACACCTTTTATACACGAGGGGAGGAGTCAGCTGGCTGTCCCGCCGATGTAAACAAAGTGAAGATAGGACTCTGAAAACTCTGAAAACATCACAGACAGTGGGACTCGGGTGTTACACCCATTGTAGACAGTCATGACTCACAGAGTTATTTTCAGAGGATATACTTGATTTATATTATATTTAAGTGTGAAAAATCACATAGAAAGCCTTTACATTTTGCATAATATAGAACATTTGGTTCAATCCCAGGTTTGTCACCACTGTTATACAGTTTTTTCTCAAACAAGTTTAATCCATTAACAGCTAAGTGCCCACATGTCAGTCGAATAACCATGCCACTAATAATGTAAATGTATATCTATCCATGTAGAGTTTTTATCAATAAAGAAATTAGTTATAGAGAGTAAACATTTTGTAAGCAGGCTGTAAACATGTTTATTTCTGCTCTAAAGGCATTTTAATACAGGACCTAAAGGGGATTCTTTGGCATTTGCAGCCACCCTCATGTGTTGAGAAACTGCAGTTTTATTGCACTTCACCACTGGCTTCACTTCTCACAAAAGATTGGGCGTTATATTTTTATGGTGGTTATCATCCATAATTGTTGTAATAGCGACACCTACTGGATTGCAAGAGTTAGTTGCATTCTATTACATAGTCCACCCAAAATGATCCCTTTTCATGAATAAGTCTATAACCCAGACAGAATTGTCTTGCTTTGCATAGTTCCTTCTCTCAATCACAACGTTTAAATCCTTTCCACTTTGCCCTGTTTATCAGCAGCACTGTTCATGACCGTACAATTGAATGCTAAATTGTCCGCAGATATTTGGGACCGTTCCAGATTTTTTGTTGTGTTTTAACTGAACAGTTTTGGTAAAAAATATATTATTATATAGCAGTTGTTGGTGACAACAGAGACAAATGTTTAACAGCCAGAAGGTTCTGACTTCACTTCAACACCACAAACCTCCCAGTGTTTCAGCAGGTGTTTTATATGTGTGATGTGTTGCTTATTGTTAGGCAAAAGATCTGACACTATTCATCCCTGACTGACAAAGACATAGCGTCAAGAATGGCTGTTAATCTGTTCCCATGGTAACACAGACCAAGACATCTCAGCTACAGACTGAGGATGAAGATCCTTGCAGACTGATTTTTAAGAAAACACCAACACACATACAGTACTACATGCACCTATAGACACACTTTCAAAGCCAACAACACCATGCATCACAAGCCTGTTTTCATTGTCAATGTAGAAGAAAACAGCAGACACCATAGGCTTACGTTTTTCTCTAAAAAACCCTGAAGCATATCACATCTCCCTTAGCTATTCCATGAAATAGCTTGCTCAAAATTGGCATAACAGCATGATTTAAACAATGTTGAGAGTATGCAGGATATTTGCTCAGATTTCGCAGGAGGCTAATTAGTTAGCATAGGGGTGTAGCTTTCTTGATTAAACTCAAATGCCACCCTACAGCTTTGGCATATATGTGAATAAAAGAGTGCATCATTAATGTATTCTTTTCTTATCAAAGAATTGATCATAGACTGCTAGTGGTGCTGAGAGAGCCGGCTTCAGATGTGTGCAGGTTAACAGTCAATGACTTAAATAATTGTCTTAGATATAAAATGGCTGCTAACAGAGCAGCCAGTGAAAATGAAACTATTTAAGAAAAGCTGGAGGATTTAAAGAGTGGAACAAAACGTTTTGAGTTGGCTACAAAAGTATTTCATTTTTGTCCATTTATGTAGGCTACTTATGAATAATTGCATCATTTTATATGTATTTTCTAATTCTATTTGATCATAATAAGTCAGAAATGGCCTGCTAGCCTATAGCCTATATGCTAGCCTATACAAAGAATTTTAGCCTTTAATATTTGAGGCCAAGAAAATAAACTAGGCTATATGAGTGATTCTCATAAAATACACTTTAACATAGGCCTCCTCGGTATTTGTTGAGATGTTACTTTTTTTTCTAAAAATAAGTGGTTTAAATAATTGGTCGACTCTGTTATGGACATATTTAGTAAGATAGCATATAGCCTATGGTTATAACAAATGTAATACAGTTTTTTAAAAACATTTCTCACCTTAGAGTGTTTTTTTGGCAATACATCCATAAAGACAACCTTAAATCTAGCAGGATAGCCACTTTTGTTTAATGAGTAGCCTAATCAAAACGTTTTGACTGCTTACATTTGTGTTTCACTCAGATGGCTTTGAAGACACGGACATCATATCATAATAATAATAATAATAATAATAATAATATAATAATAATAATAATAACTTTATTTATATAGCACCTTTTAAAAACACAGGTTAAATATCATATCATAGGCTATGTGCGAATTATCCTCTATGGATCTCTTTTGTTTGTTGACAAACTCGGGGCTCAATAATCCGTAAATGAATAAATAGTTCATCTTTAATGTAACAAAAGGTCGTGTTGTAAGTGTTTTGTTGAGGTCTAGGTTTACCGTATAGGGTTCACAGCGTTTCCCCTGACTAGGCCCGTTGGTTGAACTAGGCCTACACCACAATTTGAAAACAGGCTACAGTAAGCTAATGACAGACAAATCACTAAAATGACAACAGTCGGTATGAAAAATACAACAAATCATCCACTCCAGACGCAGGAAAAATAACCGCCGAATGTCTTTTTACAACCAAGCTCTGTGTGTGTGTGTGTGTGTGTGTGTGTGTGTGTGTGTGTGTGTGTGTGTGTGTGCGTGCGTGCGTGTGTGTGTGTGCGTGTATGTGTGTGCGTGCGTGCGTGCGTGCGTGCGTGTGTGTGTGTGCGTGTGTGTGCGTCTGTGTGTGTGTGTGTGTGTGTGTGAGGTGTGTGTGTGTGTGTGTGTGTGTGCGTGTGTGTGTGTGTGCGTGCGTGCGGGCGTGTGTGCACGTGTGGGTGTGCGTGTATGTGTGTGCGTGCGTGCGTGCGTGCGTGCGTGAGTGTGTGTGTGCGTCTGTGTGTGTGTGTGTGTGTGTGTGTGTGTGTGTGTGTGTGTGTGTGTGTGTGTGCGTCTGTGTGTGTGCTTGTATGTGCGTGTGTATTTGCGTGCGTGCATGTGTGCGTGTGTGTACGTGCGTTTATAAGGTTTTTAAGTCTTAAAAAATCAAAAACATCTTCTTCACAGTGATATTCCTACTGGCTCATGAACAGTTGCATTAATAATATATTATTATGAAATCGAGCTCGTCAGAAAACCCAGAGAGCGTCAGTCGGGCCTATTCAAGGTTAATTTAGAAGAGGTTTCATGGAAATAGGAGCCAACCCTTTGACTGGTTAGAAGATGACACAGAATGAGTTGCTCAC